GATCTCGGCTATGCTTTAATTATTATTTAGAGAACTTTGCGAGACAATTTCTCCGTGTCTGGTACTCAACAACATCAATTGGTGTCTGGAACTCGAAACGTTAAGTGGCAACCTGAGGTTTGCGATAAAAGTGTATGTACAATATAGTCGCTGACCGCAGTGATTACGTAAAGAGACGAACGTTACATATTATAATAGAAGCACCATTATAAAAGCTAATTGAATTTCTCATTAGAATTAATTATTTTATAAATGACAAAAATAAAATTTGATCAGACATATATTTAAATAGATCTGTACCTCTGTGGTTACATCTTCTCTAATACATCAGAACGCCAGACACGTTTCAATTTTTCATCAAACTTTAACTTTATTGGCTATATGTTACTCGAAAGATAAACGTAATTTTCTTTCGAGAAATCAAAAATTCATAGGTTTACTTTACTCAAACATTTCTTTTTCATGCATGCACGACAAAAGAATGCATAAAAATGCATAAGAGGAAAGGAGAACAATAATCAAATAATTATAATAGTCGATTAATTATTTAACTCTTGTATTAAGATAAAGTACATGCCATATGGAAATGTAGCATTAAAATTTCAAAATACTGTTATCACATTGTTACTATATTTCAGTTTTAGCCATGATAAAAATATAGGACAACGGGAGATTATCTGCCACAAAGAACAATGGGGATAAAAAATAATGGCATAATGGATATCGATCCATGGTAATCGTTAAAAAACAACTGATATTTTGCGAGCCTCTCCTATTTTTATCGATATATACACGTATTTATAAAAAATACAATAAACATTTTACAAATAGAATTTAATTTTAAAAAAGATAATAAAATGTATTTTTATGGTATGGAAAATAAATAAAAAGTAATAATATAAATGCAAAAATTAAATAAATAAATCGACGTTACTAATATTAAATATTAGTGTTATTGCAATAACTTGGCCTTAATAAACTTTCTATATATAATAAAAAATGGTTTTCATATAATGAGTGATATCATATATCTACCGTATTTAACTAACTCTCCATCCTTTGATTATACTGCTGGTAAGTTTCCTTTTTATCACAAATTTTATTCGATTAACAATCTCATTACTCTTAATTAAAAGACAGATAAAAGATGAAAATAAAGCGTAGAAAATTCTGTGCCGTTAATACAAAATGCGGACAATGATATTAGAAAAGTTGTCAGTATCATTATCGTCTCACGGAATCACGTTCGTCTTTAGAAAGAACGAAGCTGCTTTTAATCAACAACAAAAAAGAAATGAATGCAAAGCGAAAGTGCAACAACAGGTAGAGACATTGCGCAGACCAGAAAACGACATACTAGTGATTAAAAACAGCGTCGTTGTTTTACTGTTTCTCAAGCTTAACAATGAAGCTCGATAATCCTAAGAAATATAAATATTCTACCGATACTTAAAAAATAATATAGTAGGAGAGAAATATTAATAATAATGCAGCTGCTTCGTAAAGACATGGAAATTGACTGAATTTAAAATTTTCTAGCAATAGCACGTATTTTGAGCATACATTTATAATTACTTTTAGTTTGCACCTTCTTTGTTGCGCGTCATTAACGTTTCTTTAATTCCGCGCGTCTTTACGCCCTATTTCGCTCATAACAGATCTACACTGCTGTGCGGACTCAAACGTGCGAAAATTCGCAAATCCAGTTGTCCCACGGGATGCATTTCTTCTCTTTTTTTCCCTCTTTTGCATGGTTGCAACAAGAGCGAGTGGTAACGAATCAAACGTAAATCCATGGCAAAATTATGGAAATGAATAGTGGAGCATATTTCCATACAGATTGGTCCCCACGTTTCTCAACTGAATTGTTCTATTTTTTTTGCAATGTGACGCCAAACGTCATAATAAAACGACATTCGTCAAAATAATTCAATCGTTAAAAAAAAATTATAGTACGATGTTTGACACACAATAATTCGTACGGCAATTTCTGTAAAACCGCAGAAGACAGTCGATTATCGTATTTCGTTGGAAATTGCAAGTGACATCGGACCATAATGATAAAACCAATGAGAGCGATAGTCAAGAGATTCGTTTACTCACAAGCTCGTGTGACTGTAATTAAACGCAGAAGACACAGATACCGACATTACGATCGTTTTGGGAAGGACTTTCGCCTTGTCTTTATTACTGTAGATTGTTAGAATGACGGGAAAACTTGGATAATTTTGAAATCGATGCTGATCAGCCAGATTGGTGCGGTAAGACATAAGTCGGACAAGTACATCGACCATCTGCCTCAGTAGTGGACGTATAAAAGGCGGATTACGAAAGGCGATGCATTCCCTAACCGACGTAGATAAAAGCACGTGCGCATTCGTCTTCGTATATTCAATTTATCGAAGTTCTTTCATCCTGATGACAAATATCGGATAACGGTAAATCGAAATGGCGATAGAAGAGACAAGAATAACCACGAATGTGTATTAAAAATAATAATTTATGATATATGTACGTTAAATTGAACTAATACGCATTTTTCAACAAAACAAAATTTAACAGTTCAAAATACGAGCTATTGTTCTATTTTAATCAGTACGAGTTACTATTCTATTCATGAAAACAGAAATATCATTTTTCCTTTGGCTTTATACGTGCGTAATGAAGCTTTCAGAGTAAAATTTTAAATCTTCAAAAAACAGCAATAAAAATTTTGCTCCTTTATCGACCTAAAAGATTTATCGTTATTAAGGACCACTTCGACCAAACTCCGATTAACTTAATTTGATTAGGGTCACTTCGACCAAGCTTTGATTAACTTAATCATTGATTAGTTTATTGGAAATGACCAATCGCATTTGTCAATCTGCTTAATGAGCAAATGCGATTGGTAATTTCTAATTGACTAATCAATGATTAAACGGAGCTTGGTCGAAGTGGCCCTAAGTTTCATATAGAAATGGAAAATTTATTAATATTTGGCTCAGAAAGTAAGCAACTTTAGTATTTATAGCTACGGATCGAGAACAATATTATCCATTATTTATTTTGGTCAATACGACTCAATCAATTTGATGTTACAAAGCCGTATATTTCCTTTTCATCAATTCCTATGAGAGAGAGACTTCTCTCATAGTGCCGCTCGATGAAAGTATCCCAAACCAGGCCAGGTATTACCGTACTACCGACTACAATTATCAGCTGGAACATGCCGTTAACGAGGAAAGCCTTTCAAAGGCAACACAGAGTTTCGATTAAACTTTGTAGGTACTCCCACAAAAGAAAGATATGTATTTTTCTCGATACGCTAAGAAACTTATTTACTATTTTGTTCAATGAAAGAATCGCTTGAAAAGTTTTCCCTCTAACTCTTCTGCAACAAATTTCTGACAGTATCTCTAGCGCGTTTTTCTATTTTACGATATTACAGATACCTTATCGCCAATATGAAATAATCGATATATATATGTATATATCTATATATATATATATAGAAAAAGACAGTACTTGTATACTCGGTGTGTATTTTGCGATATAATATTGAGTATATCTTGATATTATTTATTACTTATATTTATATATTTGTATGTGTACGGAATTATTGACAAAATTTAATTTTTACAGTGCAAATTTCTTAATTTTACCGGAAAAGATTGAAAACAGGCGTTATAAAGCTTTCTAATATACTTCATTTCTTATTGTGTCATTTGGTACACGAACAAATGGGATTGCTCTTTCAGCGACGCGGGAACGTGCAACATAAAGTCGGTCGTAGTTGCAGTTTATGTGACACGTTTAACTACAAGCTCTTGCAAAAGCGTATCATTTCATATCACGTATACTTGCGGTATCCTATCAAGTTAGAAAAGAAATATTGAATTATTTTAAAGATTTCCATTTTTCAACTCTTATAAAATCAATGAAAAGTTTTAACTCCTTTGTAAAATATGTAATTAATAAAAATACCGAATATATATTACATTATGTCTGTATAGTCTGTTAGCACACCAATGGTTTTAAATCAATTTTCGTTCGTAAATATTTGTGCTACATGGGTAAGCTCAAGTTTAGCACCTAAACCAAAGATGGACGCGCGTCTTCTTGCGTATAATCTGGATTTCTGTTAAGTCGAGAATCGTGATGTATATTGTTTATCCAACGTGTATATTCATAAGATTGCTCTCTATTTCATTCTTTAAGATAAAATTAGAAATGTTCTAATTATTAACATATACATATTTAATTTATGATATGATATCACGCAAAATATTACGAAATGTAAACAAGAATATATCCTCAACTTTTAACTACGTAAATATCATGTACACATAAATAATATCATATCGTGCAACGGTGCAAGTTACTTTATAAATCTTAATCGGATTCCTTAATTGCAAAGGGACTCACAGCTCAAAAGTAAGGCAGAAGCAAGGAGATTTTCATCTCGATTAAAATGAGACTCAAAGTGATTTAGCAAGGTAATTGCAACTGACTCGTTAGCATCGGTCGATGCGGGGTCCCGCGCGCAGAGCCCTTTTAGCTGAACGATGCAGTGGAATGCATTGAAATTAGAGAACCGCATCGCGTCCGCATCAGGCAATAGTAGGGCATAGTTGTGGATCCGCTCGAACACCGTATTCAAATCACATTACAAATAATGATACGGCAAACTACAAAGATGGTCTGTTTTATCGAAATAAAATCGCACTAACTATTCAACTACTAAAACTGATACTAAAGTGTACAATGTAAATTTTGCACTGTTTTTCTTTACTTTTATTAAAAAACTAATTACATATATACGCACCATCTTACTTTAATATAGTTTTGCCTAATATTTCATATGCTATGTGTGTGTGCTACAAATATAAACCGTGCAATCCAAAAACTAATAAATAAATATATAACTTTGTATTGGCCACGCGTAAATCTTTTGAAATAAATTAATAAATATAAATAAATAATTGTAATTAATGAAATATCTTGATTATCTTTTCCAGGATTTGGCAATGATTAATGCGACGAAGAGGTGATGTGATGTGGCGAAACTTTGGTTGGACGGCCATTCTGGCCACATGGACGATATTCCTGATTTTGAATAGCGGCTTAGCTGGCGAACGAATTCTCAAGAAACCACAAAACAACAATGAAGACAATGTTCATCATGAAACAACGCATCCCGTTTTCGATAAGAAAGTTGTCGATTATTCTAGGTTACGATACGCAAGAGAGAATTTCAAATCAAATGATCGTTCATCAATGCATGCAAAAGCAGTTTCTCTGGAATTCAAAAATACGGAAAATCGCGATTCACGACTCAATGGCCATGAAAAGCACATTGCGATGTCAAATGCAATAGCTACAACGAAATACTTGAAAGACAGCGACGACAAAAGTGAGCGACTGATTACAAAAAGAATGGGAAACGTATGGTTGTCGAAAGTTATCGTTATGGAAAAATCGAAGAATACAAGGAATTATCTTAAGTTCATGTCTAGCCTACGTCCGCCGCCACCTACATCCCAAGAGCTGAAAAGTGCCTCGAGAAAGAAAAGACGTAAGGAAAGAACCATCTACGTGTTCTTGAACGATCATAAAAAGATGGGAACGATAAGACACGATATTCAGGCGCATGACAAGAAAGGCGGACGGTGGAAAAAGTACGAGAGGGATCGAATCTTTAGTGGAGAAAACGGGATGACCGCATTCTTCCCCGACAAATTCACAAAGAACTCGCGTAGCGAGAAAGACAGTTCTACACAGAAGTTGAAAAATTCCGATATCTCGCAACTCAAAACTACAAAAGCGGAAATTATCGTGTCCAGATATGCCAACGGAGCACACAAACATAATAGGAACGAAAGAGATTTCCGCCAAAGTCTCGAGCTAACAAAAAACAGCACGAATAAATTGATTTATGTTAGAGTCAACGACAAATCTCGAAAAGTAGAGCCAACTTTTTCAAACTACTCAAGTTCAGAGGTAAATCGGAGTTGTGGGAATGAAACTATTACAACTACTACAGATAACGCAATCATAGAGAATTCACCGTACCAACGTTCCGTGGCCGTCACCTGGACTACATTAATCTTCAACTCCAAAATCTCGAGCGTAAACGGAGAAGTTGGTGATGAAGAAAATACCGTAAGTCCCTCTTCAGAGTATTCAAAATCGAAATCCTATAAAGTGAATGAGTTTCTAGCATCAGCCGAAACGTACAAACGCAACGAATATTCAAAGGTAGGATTTAAAGTAAGTACAGATACACAAGGGAACAAAAAAGAAAACGGGAACAGCGTCGATTCGTTCACTTCTCGCGCATCAAATTCGCTCAATAACCATTTCGCTAAGAAAAGAGCCAGCTTTACGAAGCGTCCCTTTTTACATAGAAAAAAGAACGAATTAAAGGCAAGCGATATATTTGATCAGCGACGTCAATATTATTTTCCAACAAGCGATATTAATACAAATAGGAAAACAAGGAAACTTGGCGAGATGCGTATAAGAAAAAAAACGGAAGAAAAAGAGATTACCGCTGCTGCAAACTACGCAACGCACGACACGCTCGGAATCGAGCCTGACCCGTCACCAACTAATTTATCTACCAAGGGAATCGACAAATCCAACTTAGACTATCAGATGCCAGTGCGTATTTCAGTCACGCAGAAAAGGAATCCGATACACGTACGACACGTCGGATCTGACGCGGACTGCGAGCGCCGGCGGAGAACTGAGTTCGAGGCCGGAGTTCGTGACGCGTTTCGAATCGGCCTTCGGAATGTCTCCAATCCATCGACGACCGCAAAATTCAATAGCTTCCTTGACCAAAAACCTAATGGCCGCCCGAAGTACTCACAGAAATTTCATGCAATCAATGTCGGTACACTTCCACGCATCGCTGAGACAACTGATGGAAAATTGGAACACGACCGCGATGAACCTCGAGGAACTTCAACCGAGAGCGTATCTATCTTTTTCGGTGCAGCGAATGTCGGCGATAATTCGATCGGAATGCGGAAGATTAATGGGCATGTGCAGTCATCGAGCGAACTTACGGATGAGCCCGGATTAGAAAATGTCAGAGTTACGACGAGACGAGGTGGAAATCATCGAGACATGCATGAAGGATCTGGATTTTATTCACGAAGCGACGGTGTTCATAACTCAAAGTATCGACGATATAAACGCCACGAAGATCGGAATACTCCGAGAATTTCGACATCAACTGAATTCGACAGCGGCACGTGGAAGACACTCGATACGGCAACAACAACGTCGAACTTGCTAATCGAATTTACCGCCAATCCACCCATTTCGACAACTGAAACAAATAACGTAGATAAAATATCGACTAGCGCGAAAAAAGTTCTTACATCTGTGGAAGCACCGCCGTCTTCGAAATACAGAGAATTTCAGAAAGAGTGGCAATCGACCCCATTGACGACTAATCACGATGAGAGATACACGAATGCTCCGGCAAGAATGGGTTCTAACGCTTCTGATTCATCAGAGATATCGTTGATAGATGCTCCGAAGACGTTTAACGTCAGTTCGGTAGAGACGCCGTATCTAATCGAAGCGCACGATCGATCGAGAGCGACAACTAAAATAGACAACTCTATTATTCCGAAAGAGGTTCCTCCAGCTGTCGAGGCAAATGTGCGAATATCTGACGCTACGAACAAGAACTTCGAAGTGTCTTCGACCGAGCTCATTAATTCGCAAGGAGAACACGGAGCGTACGGTAACGAATCCGTATGGACCATTGACCCACTTCCACAAAAGAACAATGACCCTTCTCGAGGTATCTTCGAAAGCATCACCATGGAGAATATCATCGACTCATCGGCTAGTGACGTGCTTTCGGATCAGTGGCCTGTAAAGCATAGCGCAGTGGTGGAAGGTGATCTCGTCCTCGGTGGACTGATGATGGTGCACGAAAGGGAAGATAGAATTACATGTGGTCGTGTGATGCCTCAGGGAGGAATTCAGGCACTTGAAGCCATGCTCTATACGCTGGACACTCTCAATGACCGGGAGATTGTGCCTGGCGTCAAAATCGGGGCGCACATACTCGATGACTGCGACAAGGACACCTATGGTCTTGAGATGGCAGTGGATTTCATTAAGGGTACGTATGCGTACGTATGCAATGTCCGAGCATGATGATCATGTCCTTCTTTACGCATGTTGCACGTGATATCGTTACGCTTTGTACAGCGAATCTTTATCAATCATAATATCGCGAAAAGCATGAAAAACTTAGATCTAATATTTCGTATCTGATTCTCACATTAAACTGGTCATCCGGGAAATACGACATTAAACTTGACATTTGATTTATGAATCGTGTAAATACTCTTCTCATCTTTAGTAGTATTACATCGCTTTCCTTAATTCCTTATAATTTAACATTGCTTTCCTTCATTAATACGGATTTAACTTTTATGACTTTATTCTCCTATATTTTAGATTAAAACTAGATCTAAGTTTCGCTAATTTTGCCTTCCTGTGCAAAACCAAACAAAATCAAGTTTGAATATATCATATTTCTAAGAAAATTCCCGATATATTGTTTTATTATTGAAAACACTGATATACCATAGGTCTATAATATCTCCAGAGAATTTTCCAATAAATCAGGAAAATTACGCTAGCAAAATCACCGCCACGTAATTTTCTAATAAAACGAACATGTATTAACTCATTTCTCTGCCTTGCGCAGTACACGGAGAGAATTTTTACAAACAACGTGGTAAAAATTACCAAGCAGATTGGTAAATTTTGAAAAATTATTGAAATTTCCTAGATATATTTTAGTAAAATTAATCAAACATATTTTATATTTTAATGTAATAGATATTAATATTTTTTATTATGGTGGATATTAATCAGAATAGCTCGCATAAAATTCTTGGTGGTACATGTTGTCCCACAACTACCATGATTTCAAGGTAAATTTTAAGAGAAAATTCTCTCCGTGTATAATGATTGCATACGCTCAAGGCGAAAAGCATATGTACATATATTATACATGTGTATATATACACACACACACACACATCACACCCGTCACATTGTTACTCCATTTACATTTATATGATAGAGAATATAGTCAAATATCTTTTAAATCTCTCTTTAAATCTATTTAATTCTTCATATATTGATCGATAGTTATTTTGTTTATATTAAAATAACTATCTTGTTTGTTCGCTTCAATAATTAAAAAATCATTATAACAATAAACATATTTTCATTGTTCAATATCTCCTTTTTTCATCGAAGATTGCAATAGATGCAGTATTAATTACGATTATAAACATTTTATATTTAAATATAAGTTTGTATATATGTGAGTGGATAAATAAGGTAAAAATTAAACATCAGTAGGCCAACGTTCTACAATAATGTTGAAGAAGCATATTCAACTACCGGTAAATTTCCGACCGGCTGTCGGTAAATTTCCAAGTCGGGAAAGATCCATCGAGCTTTTCACAAAGTACCGACTACCCCACAGAAACGCCAGCATTTGATAAATTACGCGATTTATCGTACGCTGGGCTTTCTACGGATTTTGTCGCTGTCAGTATAAACTATAGAAATATAAAGCTCCATATCAAGCATCGATCGCGTCTATAAAATTTATAGAGCACTCTTTCCCCTACTTCAGTTTTCAACACAGATTCTCTTCTACAAAATATCGTATCATATAGAAGAATTACTTTAACTTTAATTTGCAAATGTATCTGTTTGAAATAATTGTACAAAGCATTTTGTTTGATGATAATATCGCAAAAAGAAAGGAAACATAATTTTCTCTTCTAAAATGATCTAAGAGAAATTCTAGTTTCTTTTCCAATCCACAAAGTTTCCATGAAAATGTAATTTTTCGAGTTAACACGTTTGCTTGGGGCAGTATGAATCATTTGTAATTCAAAAGAAATGCAAGCAGTCGCGTTGCATACGATATAATTCTTCCGTACCAGTCTCAGCAAAAGTCACGTTGCAGTTGTAGAGAAAGTCACACGCCCCAGCGATACCAGCTGCACAGTGATAACATCCGAAAAATTGTCGTTGTATTATTCAACGGATAGTACACCCAAGTGAACTATCTTCACTATGCGGAATATGAATTAATTCCCTATTCGATCCATATATTTAATCTTGACTTGGGTTAATAGCCGTCGGTGAACGCGTGATACTGCATCGCTGTAAGCTTGCGTTCTACCAGCTGACACCAACTCGTTGATATTCACGATGGTCGTAATCGGTTTTATTGATACTTTCCCGGAAAAGAGATTTATAAGCGGCTTATAAGCGTAAATAAATCCCCGAAAGTTCAAAAATCATCAACGAACGAAAGCGGATTTATTCAATTTTTGTCAAAAAACTAGATGGTTAAATTTTTCAGTAAATCTATCAATAGCTCACCGAGATATACCTTCCTCTTTTGCATTAGAAGTCCCTTTGCGCTGTTGACATGTTTAAGAATTACCATGTCCACTTCTACATTGCATCGTAGACCCAATGTGATTTACAAAACAATTTTCAAGAAATCTACAAAGGTACTGCTTCATAAATTTGCACGTTATCGAAACAAAACATAACTGTAATTAAAAATAAATATTTAAAGTAACAACAAAAAATAAAAAATAATATTTTACGTAAGGTAAATGTCCCTATGCCCGACCATGCTCCCTCTACCGACCACTTTGACGTGAAACGTTATTTACGAGGCTGCCGATTCATCAACACGTTTATTAGTGGAGTGGAAAAATTCCGGAATTCGTGCAGTACAAAAGGATTGTAACGTGCAGATGAGTAAGTACAATAATTAGATATATTTTTTTTCGCATTTCTTGCCGCACGTCACCATCCACGCGTATTCTTAAGAGTGAGGTTAAAAATTGTTGGTCGCCTAAATAGTCCGTATTTCGTTCAAAATCCTTTTGTAAGGAATAATTCGAGCGCTAAATGGTTCGTTACAGTTTGATTGCCATATTCGGAAAAAAAAATCAGTCAAAAACTAGCATTTTTTTTATTTATTCGATGGTCGAGGTTAGACACAGCAAAACGCCTGCATGTCCCCAGTACCGTACACGTAAACGTCAGTGTATTGTCGAACACTAAAATATCTGTAAAAAATATTATAAATTTTGTTGTTCGATCATAAATGCTGTAAAGTTTATGATCGAAGTCTGCGTACATGACAATAATTCATTCCCTGCTACGCAGATTACATTACGCAGAGATATCTATAGATTTTTGTAATTTTTATGGTGGTCGGTAATGGGGCATACCCAGTCGGAATTGGGCACAGCTAATCTTTATCTAGAAAAGTACTTGACGGAATGGATTGGGTCGGCCTTATAGGGGTCGGGAACATTTACCTTAATTCAGTTCGCGGTAAAACTCTTAATATAAATCCTGTAATAATATGTATAATATATATGTACGTGTGTAATTATACATAAATCACATATTATATACTAATGTGTAATTAATGTAATAATTATATATAGTATCAAAAAATATTTTCTTTACGATAAATTTGACGCAAATGGATATACAGTGGATCAAAAAAGTATTTGCACGCCCAGTTTTCTTACAATAACTTTATTCGAAGGAATAATACATAATTACGAATTATGCCCATAAGTAACTTATTACATACAATACATGTAATATTATTTTTCGGATAAAGTTATTGTAAAAAAACTGGGTGTTCAAATACTGCTCCACTATATATAAGTATATGCATTTTCATAATGAAGTGGTATACCACGTAAACAAGAGCAGCTAGATAGCTAAACCGAATTAATTCAACATGTTCGGTATGTGAGGATAATCTTCAAATCGATAGGTCTTTATAAGCCGTTAATTAATATTGCATGCTGAATTTCCCATTGAGAGCGTCGCGGACATTGCGGTCTGTAATTATTATTACCTATGATACAGTTCGTTCTCCGCATGTGCAGAGTGTATAGCTAAATTATGCTAACGCAATCGTCACGCAAGACATTAATATCACTTTGGACGACATTTAGAGTTCAAAGAATCGTTATAGATATGAAAACAAAAACAAAATTATGAAATAAAAATATTTCAAGAATTATTTAATCATTTATATAACGATAATTCTGATAATTGTAAGAAAATTATTAATTTATTAACAATCTAGTATACAAAAAGATGATTTCAAACAGATGATAAAATGAAGATATAACGTCTAAAATTTACTAATTTAAGTCGAAAGTGTAATTTCGCCGCGTTTGTTTCGTCGAGTCGCTGTTGCTCTTTGTTTCGCAAGACTGCAGATGTAATGTTAATATAGCATGCTTTACAAATCTCACTGTCATAAACCGACTGCAGATCTTCAGAATTATTATGTCGAAATAATAACTTTTAATATTAATAAACAGTAATATGTTTACATCACTCTCGACGCGCTGCAGGGCTCATAATATTAATAAAGTATATATCACATGCATTTTTATTATTTTAAAATATGCAAACATTAAAAAAAATAAAGCACATGCCGCATACATATACATACATATGCACGTCTAATTTAATGTAATTAAAACCTGCCATTTCTTTTTTAATTCAACTGTGACTGAAAGCGCTACTGATATTGAAACATTTTGCCGAATTCGATGTACATTCGTAAATACCAGAATTCATATCTGATAACTGAACGGTGAACGACGACGTTGTACTAGTTGTCATTAAAACATGTACGTTTTTGCGTTCGAACTGCACGCGAGCTCTCGAGATAATGTTGCTTCTCGTGGCGAGCACAGCAATTTGTCACGACTTGCTTCCCGACGAACGATTCAAAAACAACATTTTTCAACGTGCAGCTCAGCTGAGGCACCACAGCAGGAGATAATGGCAAAATCGAATACCGCTGTACCTCACGGAAGTGAGCAGTAATAACGATTTTATGAAAATTTTATGAGACCAGAATTTCCACCGGGGAATGGCATTCTCGTTCGAAGCAAAGAGTCATTTGCAAGAATAGAGAAGAATCTGTGAAATTCTAACTGTCTTGTTAAAATGTTAATTATTATTGTTATGAAAATGTTAACGATATCGGCAACATTGCGAATAGCAATCCTTCATTCCAAT